TATATAATGGGTTTGACACGTGAAAGTCCAGGATACCAAGGTGCAACATTATTAACACTGTTACTGACATTCTTAAGTATAATGGAGATTCTCCCTTGAGGAGCTACATTATAGCAACAAGTACTTGTCACTGTCGGGGCCTTTGTCCTCTCAGATTGGGGGCCATACCTGGTTGATAGAGCAAAAGATCAGCAAATCAGCCTTTACGCGATTATTAAATGGAGTTAGCCCTTTTACGTGTAAATATACCATACATAAACCCTTGTTTGAAGTGAACAATTTTAACCAATTTTGGATACCGTGGAGTAACCATATTGAAGACTTGTACCATACTGAAGACACCATATTGAAATAACCATATTGAAGACATTGAAGATCCGAGATCAAACTTCTTGCATTTAATACTTCGAATCAGCACCGTCTAGGGTATGCATGTGTGGCCTTGGGCCCATATTTTAAAAAGGATGATCATGAACTAATGGTTCAAAGGAGAGCAGTAAGGTTCATCTATACTTCCGCTCATCACATTCTTGATTCACCTTCATTAGTTTTTGCTACTTTCAACATTCCACTCGTGAAACAGCATAGAGCTACTGCCAAACTTAAGTTCCTTTTCCCATTTCATATTTGGCAGTTTAATATTGATCCTAGTAAATACATCTGTCCCTTTTTTCCCAGCCAACTAGACAGTCCCAATCATGACCCGACAAACTTTGCAAGCACTAACCTTTTCAAATGCTTCTTTCTGTGGACCATTAGGAAATAAAATGCAGTGCCTTCAAATTTTTTTCCTGAATGTGACATTTTGGACTGAAAACTTCATGCACCTTATGTAAACAACATTGAATTCAGTTGTGTTTGGTGCTTGTAACTTTATAAATTTCTGCACTCCTTTCTACAGATTTGTATTCAACCATTCTAGTTAACATGCTTTTCTTTGTAAGTAGTAATGTTTATTTTAACCTGCTGTATAACTTTTACACTTTTTTACACCCCGTTTACTTGGTATGAGACTGAACTAAATGGAAATGAAGTTTTTTTTTTTTAAATAAAGTACAAGTGAATCTGGTGCATTTTTCAAGAGTAATCCTTGGTGCTCACACAATAAGGTGTACACCAGAGTTAACCCCTTAAGTGCTTTGAACAAGCAGAGCTCGTGCTGGCTAAAATGTCACCAAAACAGCTTAGGACGAGCAGAACTCTTCTTAGTGGAATAGATACTCTTCTCAAGCGTTCAGGACTAGAACCGCGCATTTATGGCTTACACTGCACATCATCCATTAGACGCCGACAATTTCGCAAGAATTTAGCTTTCTTCTGGGGCAGGAGCACGATTTTTGCATGAAAAAACTGCTTGCAGTAGTGGTGACGCATGCATAGATAGCCTGTGAACACTAAGAAGCTATTCGTTTTCGTCATTTTCTTGGAGAGCCGATGATTCAAGTACAGATGCTTTGTGACGACAACGATGACTGAATTGAGTAGCTCCTCCAGTGATGAGGACGACTGATGCGGACAGAGTGAGTGCCTGCCAGTGAAGCTGCTTTGTGCTATCCCGCGTTTTGAAATTTCGTACACTGCCCCTGAAGCTTCCCAAGTGAAAAAGCACAAGGGTGCTTGGCCTCATCAAGTGGAGCAAGATCTGACATCCGTAACTTGTTTATAAGGTTTTAATTTCTTCAGAAGCAGCTACCTTGTTAATAAAGTTGTTTATTTTAATGAACTATTTTCCCCACACTCAGATAAACTAATATTTTTTCAACATCGACTACTTTTCAGTACAAATATATGCGAAATCGGCAATAAAAGAATGAGCACTTTTTAATGAAAGTAAAAAGAAAAGATGTTACAGGGTTAAAATAACCAGACAAAATGAATTCCCATCTTAGCTTCTCCCTAGAGCACATGCACTCTGATGAACCAAGTGCATGTACATCACTTGTACATGCAGTCAGTTGAAAAAATCTGGCAATTTTTTTGTCACAATTAGTCTGCAGTGATAAAACTACAAAGACAACTATTATATAAAGGCAGTCTTAAGAGCAGAAGCCTTCCTGCTATAGCCAGAAGGGCAACATATTAGAGCGATATACACTATGATCTATAAATTTGCATGTTCATAATGTCCTAGAACTGTTGGAGAGCCACCTCATATGCAGCTATTTTTTCGGGACATTTGGCATGATGTCACATTTGCAGACAAGTGTGTTTACACTTGCAAAGACTGACATGGAACCGGTTATGGTTGTTTCCTGCCTTCAGCTGTATTTGTCTTCACGCTGCTTCAAGCTCCCTATTTTTTAGAGAACCTGCCAAGCATTGACGAATCAAACTACAGTACAAAAGGAATCATTTAAAAACATCAAGCAATACAAATACATCCACTTATCGAATGAGGTTAATTTAAAGATGATAATGCTGCTGGCTAAAGGTGCAATCGGTTCAATAAAAACTACTGCAAATCTGCTAACGAAAGTGACTGGAATGTCATACTTTTTGCTAGAATTACCTAGATGCCCAGCATATTTTACAGCCTTAGGCTACATATCAGGCAAGGACAAGTGAAATTACAACTGGTTAAAATTGATATGTGGGGTTTAACGTCCCAATGAGAGACGCCGTAGTGGAGGGCTCCGGGAATTTCAACCACCTGGGGTTCTTTAACGTGCACCCAAATCTGAGCACACGGGCCTACAACATTTCCGCCTCCATCGGAACTGGTTAAAATTCAAGAGAACTATTTTTAATATAACTGTTTGGGCTTTTACATGCCAAACCAACAATACGATTACGAGACACACTGCCGTGGGGGAGACTATGGATTAATTTCCAACTCGTAGCATTCTTAATATGCAGATTAATGGGCACACTGGCGTTCTTGCATTTTGCCCCCATAGAAGTGCAACTGGTCGGGTCAGAAATTGCATTCTCATCCTAGAACTTAGCTGTGGTACGCCTTTTTTTTAAATATGTGAAGGGTATAAATGTGCGAGTGTCTAGAACATAGACATTCCACTGTACCTTTTGGAAGAACCTTTCTGCCATAGTGGGTGTGTCACAGCCATTTTCTGCGATGATGAAAAAAAAGTGGTAGCAGACCCAAAAAGTGAACGACAACAAAGCGAAGCACCTTGCACGATTATGAAATGCAAATGTTTATTAAATGATTATAAGAGAGTCAGATGGCCGCCAGGGCGCATCAACAAACGCCAGTTGCACCTCGTGTCGGACTCTACAACACTTTCGCTTTGCTTGCATAGTGCCGCTGTGCCAAACATGTCCAATCATGCAAGCAGAGAGATGTGCTCATCGCATTCCATTCTAACCGAGCGCGTATCAATTGGCACAGGCCTTCACTGAACACACCTTTGATTATAAATGACTGCCGGATGCACAGACGAACAGATTCACATACAGACAGACAGATGCAAAAACAATACGGTACATTTTAAACATGCAAGCCCACTATGAACCCTCTACGTATTGTAACTGCAACAGCCATGTTTTGGTTCAACGGGAAGCTACTATAACGGACATAGCGAGAGCCTAAGGAGCTTCACTCTTAAAAAACTGGAGGCAAGAACTTTTTTAAAAAACTGGAGGCAACAACTTCCAAGCATTGAGTTTTTCTGAACATCAGAGAGGTTTGTTTACAGAAAGGCAGAGAGGTTAGCCTGAGCAATAGCACGCTCTAGCCTGCTACTATACAGCAGGGGAGGGGATATGGGAGGAAAAGTAATAGATGACGATGATGAGAGAGAAGAGATGGTGAGAACAGTCTTTTCGAATTGAGAAAATGTTATAGCTATGCATGTAGACCAGTTGCTTTTAAAAAGGTTTTGAACGATAAGCCTCACAGGAATGCATTTGTAAAAACATGCAACTAAGGCTTACAATAAGCAAATTAAGTTAACTAAAATTTATATGCCCCTCCCTAGGACCGGCAGCCAATTCTCCCGTGCCACCGATTCAACAGTACCAGCCTAAAAAATTGGCAATGTTTCAATTCGTGAATGCAGAATGCATGACGGCAGCCTATTCTCTTGTGCCACCAATTCAACAGTAGCAGCCTAAAAAATTGGCAATGTTTCAATTCGTGAATGCAGGATGCATAAAAGCGTATGGGAGACATTTCCTTTTCATGCATTGCACATAAAATGGTTTGGCTTTGAGTGCAAGCTTGACTTCTCAGGAGCCTCCTTAGTATGCCTAGCCTGCGCTCATTGATGGTCTTGTTCAACTTTTTCCGGGCATATGGCAGCGACTTAGGGTCGCTTGTCTTCCTTTCAGCCTGCTGCCATTTGTACTGCTGCAGTCCTTGCTCTGTGCTTTGCATCTGTGTGTACCGAGGATGCTCAGGGTTGGTCTGGCAATAATAGACCTCGTAACTAGAGAAGGTCAACCTGGCTATGACCAGACTAGAGCGGAGACTTACGCACATGTCTACTCTGCAGTATGGCATCTCCATTTACCCTCATCACCGGCGCTCAGCCCTGCCTCCTTTATTCAAGCATGCTCATCCTCCAGTGCTCCCTTCCCTTGCAGCGTTCAACACATTCCAGATTCTTTCGCAAAAGAGGTGTGTACACATGTTCATGAAGGTTTTGCTTGCAGTAGTTTAAGCTACTGTAATGTGTAATTTAAGAAATTACACTTGTATTACACTGCTGCAAGTAATGTAATCTAAGCCCACGATGTGCACGCAAGCACTATACACTTATGAAAACACTTCGATCCGCATCTTGACACTTCATTCAATCACAAAACTGCAGCATAGACAATAACTGACTGCTTCACATGAAACGGATTCCCACAAGAACCAGGACGAGCCAATTTTCTCTTGAGAGTGTAACAACAGGGTATCTGCTGTATAACAGTGCTCATGGTACTCGAACTGGCCACTGGCCAGTTCAAGACGATCTATCAATGCCCATCAACTTGGGCAGCGATATAGTTTCAGCAATAACTTAAAGAGGTCTTAAACCACTTTTCGAAACAATGAAACGACCTCAGTATCAGTTTGTGCCTCACAAATCTATTGCCGCAAAAACTTAATCTGCCAAGGACGAGCATAGCAGCAGGGATTTCTCGCATGCTTTTTTTTATCTCAGCGAGTACATTAAAAGCTACACAGGAGGAGATGAGTGCATATCATCACCTTGAAAGCACATCATGAAATGAGATTGCATCTAAAGCTCTTCTTGCCACAGGGTGTTGCTATGGGCAGGAATCTCGATAGAAGAGGGCAAACACAGGTATTTATTCATGTTAGCCATGCAATAGCAGCAATCTGCATATTGATGACATACAGGGGCACAATCTCATACATGTTTTGAAAAATCATGAGAGAACAAGAGGAAGCAAAAAGCCAATGGGAGAGCTAATGGAATTCCGAAAAGTTTTGAATGCATGAAAAATTGCCGAATTTCTTAACTGAAGATCAATATTGGGAGGCATGGCTTTTTAAAGCTTAAAATTGAAGTGCGATAACAATGATTTCTTCATTGATTGGGTGCTAGATGGTGTCCCAATTTACGAGACATTTTGTCTCATTTTAGCAAACTATTGACGCAGGATTGAAAATAACAATTGTTGAGGTTTAACATCCCAAACCACCATATTATGAAAGATGCCATAGTGGAGGGCTCCAAAACTTTAGACCACCTGGTGTTCTTTAATGTGCACCTAAACCTAAGCACAAGGACCTCAAGCATTTCCACCTCTATCAAAAATGCGGCGTCGTGCAGGACTGGCTTCAGCCAGGCACAATGTAGGGCAATTAGATTCTTTGTATCGGATTGAGTGTTTGGGCCAAATTTCCAGAGTGTTTCACGTCTATTCTACGAGTGACATGTGGGGTTCAACGTCCGAAAACCACCACACGATTATGAGAGACACCGTAGTGGACGACTCTGGAAATTTTGACCACCTGGGGTTCTTTAACGTGCACCCAAATCTGAGCACACGGGCCTACAGCGTTTTCACCTCTATCGAAAATTCAGCCACCGCAGCCGGATTCAATCACTCGACCCGCGGGTCAGCAGCCGAGTACCTTAGCCTCTAGACCACCGCGGCAAGGCCACATCTGCTCTATCAGATGGAACGGTGTCTATCTGTTCTGTGCCTATTATAGAACAACAATCTTATGTAACATAACCTGTCATGTTCTGGCCTCTGTATGAAGAAAGGGCACTCGAACTGGCAATGCTGCGCTTCGCTTGCTGCGTGTACATGCAAAAAAAGAAGAATAGTTCAAAACATAATTTTGTACGTACCAAAACCAAGATATGATGATGAGAGATGCCATAGCTGGGGTGCTCCAGAAATTGACTACCTGGCATGGGTGTTGGCAGGGAGGTGATAAACAACACCCTACATGCCTTAGCAACACCCTACATGCCAAGGCGTTGGTAGCTTAGCAACACCCTACATGCCAAGGCGTTGGTAGCTTAGCAACACCCTACATGCCAAGGCGTTGGTAGCTTAGCAACACCCTACATGCTAAGTTACCACAGCAGGTGATCTGCTCGCAGCAGTGTTTGCGGTTCCTAAAAGGAGCTTCTTTACAGCTTAAGCTATGATGAGAAGGCAACGCTCAATTTTGGTGCTGTAGTCCGTCGGCAGTGTCCATCATAGCTCTCCCCCCCCTCTGGCTAGGATCTCCCTAGCCAGATTGCTAGGGAGATCATTAATATATATAAGAAAAAGCAGTGGACCTAAAACTGAGCCTTGTGGGACGCCTGAAGTGACAGGTAGAGTTGAAGAGTTAAAACCATTAACACGAACAAACTGAGAGCGATCTGTTAGAAAACATTTAATCCACTTAAGAACGTTAGGGTCGATATTCAGTTGGCTTAGTTTGTGAAGAAGCAGGCTGTGGGGAACTTTATCGAATGCCTTACAAAAGTCTATGAATATGCAATCAGCCGCGGAACCATTATCAAGTACAGAATGAAGGTCGTTTGTGAAGGCTACCAACTGCGTTTCACACGAAAATAATTTCCTAAAGCCATGTTGCTCAGGTGACAAAAATGAGAATGATTCAAGAAATTTTGCCAAGTGAGAAGCGATGACGTGTTCAAATATTTTACAAGAAATACTCGTTAACGAAATGGGGCGATAGTTCGAAGCAGAATTTTGTCACCAGATTTATGGAGTGGAATCACTTTACCTATTTTCCAGTCATCTGGAATCTCCCCTGACTGAAGAGACTGATTAAATATTTTGGACAATAGTATAGCAGAAGAAACCGAGGCGTTTTTGAGCACTTTTGTATTAATGTCATCGGGACCACAACTAGAAGATAATTTTAGGCTCTCAATAATGCGTACAATGCCATCAAAATCAAAATGAACAGGGTCCATGGGGAAATCATAATGAGTGTGACAGGCAGGGAGTGACGAGTTAGTACAACTGGAAAATGCTTTTGCAAACGTGTCATTCAGAGCGGCGGCGCAATCAGTGTTGCTAATTCGGTTTGACTGCAAATCAACAAGAGAAATTGTCAAATCAACTGTATCCTTAATCAGACTCCAGAATTTTTTAGGGTTTGCGGAAAGAAGTTCAGGTAATGCAACATTCATAAACTTATGTTTTGCTTGCTTTAAAGCTTTCTTATATGTACATACGACATCCTTAAGTGCTGACCAGTGCTCCGATTTTCGAGACCGCTTTGCTCCGATGAAGAACCGCCTTTTTTTGTTAGCAAGGCGTTTTAATGCACGGCTGAACCATGGAAACTGATGGTTAGTGGTAATGACCTTTTCGGGAATATGATGTTTAATTAAATTGTGAATTGTACTTTTAAACAGGTGCCAGTTTTCAGTGACCCATCTCTCGTCGAAACCAACAAGAAACTCGTCCAGAAAAATCTTCAGCCCATCATTAATGGCCGAAAAGTTAGCCTTTCCGTAATCGTAAATAACCTTAGGGTTATTATGGGACAAACGAGTTGGGACATTCAACATTACGTGTATTACGGAGTGTTCGCTAATTTTCGGTAAATAGCTGATGTCGGTGACAAGATCGGGAGCTGTTGTTAACAATAGGTCAAGTGTGTTAGACGTGG